TGTAATTTAAAAAAATTTAAAAAGAACATTATGTAAATATTAAGTTTATTAAATTTATAATATACTATTATGTGATATACTGTAATTTAGTAAACCAGCAGATTCTTATTTAATATTTACATCCAAATAATTTACAGTATAAATAAAATTGTTATGAACATAAGCGTTAATATACATCTGCTATATATTGTGCTACAATATAGGGAAGATTCTTGTGAAATTTACTGTATATATGTGATTGTTCCTGAACAGGTTGAATGTGTTTTTTTATGTGCTAAAAGCTTTTCAAGTGTACCTCTTATAAATAAATTCTAGGATAATTTGTGTTTTCCAAAAATTGACTAGAATCCAATAACATAATATTATAGATAGAAAATCCCTGAGACTCCACCAAAAAATTATTAGAATTAAAAAATTCAGTAAAATTGCAGGATATAAAGTTAATATAGAAAAATATGTTTTATAAACTAATAAAATATCAGAAAGAGAAATTAAGAATACAATCTTACTTACTATTGCATTAAAAAGAATAAAATACACATTGATACATTCAACCATGAAGGTAAAAGACTTATACTTTGAACTATAAGACATTGATAAAAGAAATTGAAGAAGATACAAATAAATAGAAATAATAAAGGGTCTGGCACAAATAATGTGCCTTTTTTATTATGAAATCATAAGCATGTAATTCTGGTATAAATATCAAACTCAAGCATACTATATGACATTTTAGGTGAAATGTTCAAATTAAAACTATCAATTATTACACTCATATTATTACCCTACCAACCTCACTGAAGCAGGCCTTACTTCTGCCAGACCCTGTATAGTATGCTCATGAATTGGAGCTTTAACATTAAAATTGTTAAAATGTTTATACCACCCAAAGGGATCTACAGATTCAATGCAATTCCTATCAAATTCCAATGGCCTTTTCCCCCACATAAATAGAAAAAACAATCCTAAAATATGTATAAAGCCACAAAAGATCCCAAATAGCCAAAGCAATCTTGAGGAAAAAAGAACAATCCTAGAGGCATCAGACTACCTAATTTCAAATTATACTACAAAGCTATAGTAATAAAAAATGTATTGACCTGGTATAAAAACAGACATTTAGATCAATGAAAAGTTCATGCATATTAGGTCAATTAATTTACATCAAAGGAGGCAATAATATGCAATGGAGAATGACAGTTTGTTTGATTAATGGTGTTAGGAAAACTACAGCCACATACAAAAGAATCAAACTGGACTACTATCTTCCACCATACACAAATATTGACTCAAAATGCATTAAAGACTTGGACAAGTCTCAAAATCATAAAAATCCTAGAAATACTTATGCTGTAAGATCCTTAACATAGGTCTTGGCAATAATTTTTGGATCTGACTCCAAAAGCAAAGCTAAGAAAAGCAAAGATAAACAAGTTGAATTATATCAAACTAAAAATTTTCTGCACAGGAAAGGAAACTAAAAAAATGATAAGGCAAACTACTGAATGAGAGAAAATATTTGCAAATCATGTGCCTGATAAGGGGTTAATATTCAAAATATATAAAGAACTCATACAACTCTATAGCAAGATACCCCCCACACCAACAATTCAATTAAAAAATAAGCAGAGGATCTGAATAGATATTTTTCCAAAGAAGACATACATATGGCCAACAGGTACATGAAAAAGTACTCAACATCATTAATCATCAGGAAAATGGAAATAAAAAGTACAATAAGATATCACTTCAATTCTGTTAGAATGACTATTATCAAAAGCCAAGAAATAACAAGTGTTGTCAAGGATATGGAGAAAAGGGAACCCTTGTGCAGTGTTGGTGGAAATGTAAATTGGTATGAAAAATGGTATGAAGATTCTTCAAACAATTAAAAATAGAACTACCATATGATTCTGTAAATCTGCCTCTGGGAAAAATCTGAAGAAAACAAAAACACTAATTCAAATAGCTACCTGCACTTCCATGTTCATTGCATCATTATTTATAATAGGCAAGCTATGGAAATAACCCGTGTCCACCAATAAATGGTTAAAGAAAATGTGATATGAATTAAAAATGTATAAATTACATATATATGAATTAAGTCTTGCAACAACATGGATGGAGCTTGAGGGCATTATACTAAATGAAAAAAATCAGAGAAAGACAAATACCTGATAATCTCACTTGTATGTGGAATCTAACCCCTATCCCCTCAAACAAGCTCTTAGACACAAAGAATTGATTGGTGGTTGCCACAGGTGGGGGGTGGGAGGAGTGGGTGAAATGTGTGATGGGTGTCAAGAGGTACAAACTTTCAGTTATAAAATAAATGTCATGTGATATAATTACAGCATGGTGATTATTGGTAAATATACTGCATTGCATATTTGAAAGTTGCTAGGAGAGTACCATATTTTGCCTTTATATAGCGTGTCCCTGTTTATAATGTGCACCCATGTTTTGGCCCAAACTTTCAGGAAAAAAATCAGTTGTTTCAATTTTTTAACTTTGTTTATTTATTTATATTTAGAAACTTGTTTTTTGTATTATAAAGGAATTTTAGCATTTATTTTTGAACACATGGTACAAGAAATTTTATGTAACAAATAATTACTTAACACAAGAACAGATATAAGGTATTTCAGGTACTATTCATGTATAATGCACATCTTTATTTTTTCCCTCAAAAATTTGGGCAAAAATGTGTGCATTATACATGGCAAATACAGTAGATCTTAAAACTCATTACAAGAAACAAAATTTTCATAACTATGAATAGTATTAGGAGATTGCTAGACTTATTGTGATTATCATTTAAAATATACATACAAATATGGAATCATTATGTTGTACATCTGAAAAAGTATAATGCAAAGATTTTAAAAATGATCATTTACTTCTGTAATCTTTCTTCTGAAATCTCTTAATAATAATGAAGAGAACATCGGATAAATTCCAGTTGAGGGACATCTTATAAAATACTTGACCAGCCCTGGCCAGTGTGGCTCAGTTCGTTGGAAGGTTGTCTCGTAAACCAAAAGGTCCTGGGTTTTATTTCCAATCAGGGCACATCCTTAGGTTGTAGGTTCTGTCCATGGTTGGGGCACTGATGAAAGGCAACCAATCAGTGTATCTCTCTCACATCTATGTTTTTCTACCTTTCTCTCTCCCTCCCTTCCTCTCTGTCTAGAATCAATAAGCATGTCTTTGGGTGAGGATAAAACATACTTGACCAATACTAATGAAAACTCTAAGAACCTCAAAAACAGAACCTAAGAAACTGTCTGAGGAACAGTTATAGCCAAGCATCCCAAAGAGAAGTGACTACTAAATGTAATGTGATATCTTGAATGGGATCCTGGAATAGAAAATTGACATCAGGTAAAATCTCAGGAAGTCTGAATAAAGCATGAATGATAGTTAATACAAGGCACCAATACTGGTTCATTAATTGTAGCAAATGTATCATACTAAAATAATATTAGTTGTGTTGGTGGCAACTGTGTACTATGCAATTTTCCTTTAAATATAAAACTGTTCTAAAAAGTAAATTTATAAAAAATAATTTTATGTTGGTTTTCAATTGATGTTTTGATTCACAATGGGATTAATAATCCTTTTAAAATTCATAATAGAACCAGCATAGGATCCAGCTATTCACACTTCTGTGTATATGTCCAAAAGAACTGAAATCAAGGTCTCTAAGAGATGTTTACCCATATTCCCTTTAAGTGAATTTTCTAGGAAACTGAATCCAACCCAATTTTTATTAGTGCTTCTATTTTCAATTGAGATACTCTGATGGGGTGATTTGATATAATATCATGTTATAAAGCAGTGATTTTCCACCTTTTTCATCTCATGGCACACATAATTACTAAAATTCTGTTGTACATCAAAAATATATTTTGTTGATATGACAAAAATAGGTATAATTTTGGTTCATTCACATGAGATGGCTATTGTTGTGTTGGCTCTTGTCATATGTTTATTTGACAGTCTAAGGGAAAAGAGGTTGGTGCCCCTGGATAACTAGTTAGGGACTTAATGTTTTAAAAATTCTTGTGGCACACTAGTTGAAAATTGTTGTTGTGTAGTTTAATAATTCCCCCTCTCCATTGAAACATTCCAAGTGCCTCCAATTTGAAACAAATCAACAGTAACAATTGCCAAATTCATAAGGTAATACCATAATGTGAATTGGTGTGAGGAGACAAATCTCAAAAACTGGGATTTAATATTTTCTAACAGTTTCTGCCAATAAATGTTTATATATTCTCACAACTGTGCTGATCATTCCAGTTACATAGAGAGTTGGGCACTGTCAATAGCATAGCATGTTAATTACTTTGACAAACCTTAGAGCTCAAACCCATCTTCACTGAGTGGCATTATCACTGTTGAGAATGAACCTGTTTTGCTGCATATAATGTGCTTCCCAAACATTTTTGGCCCAAACTTGCAGGAAAAAAGTATTTTGTTTTAATTTTTTAAATTCAATTTTTTATTTATATTTAGAAATAAAATCGCTTATCATATTCCAGGGTATTATTTTGCATATGAGTGTCGTTATTGATTTCTAGAGTTAAACTTTTAACACATACGCATAAATAAAAGAATTAAAAACATTGGTACAGATACAGAATTAGTACTACCTATGTATAATATGCTTCCTTATTTTTCCCCCTCAAAAATTTGGGCAAAAAGTGCTCGTTATACCTGGCAAAATATGGTATTTTTTAAAAAAGTATCTTAATCACTTTGTCTTATGGTTAGATTAGGTTCTCCAGTTAGAGTTCATTATCATAATCCAATCAATCCAGAAATCCCAGTGGTGTCCGCCTACTCTGAGAAGGTGGCTCAACATAAACCTCGTTCTTGCTCATCCTCACTTTGCTAGTTGGAAGAAATGTAGCCAGGCGGCCATCCTGTTGGCTTCGGAGTCCCTGCAGCCACTGAAGACCATTTCTTTCACAGAGTCTCAGGTGGCTCCCATCATGCCCTCACCCTCCCTCAAGGTGGCTGTGGTATGCATGAGTAACATGAACAGGAGCATGGAAGCCCACAGCATCCTCAGGGAAAAAGGGTTCAGTGTCAGGTCTTTCGGAACTGGATCTCGCGTGAAGCTCCCAGGCCCGGCACCCAATGGCCCCATAGTTTACGATTTCTCAGTGACATATAAACAGATGTACAATGACCTTTGCAGGAAAGACAGAGAATGCTACCGCAGGAATGGACTCTTATACATCTTGGGAAGAAATGAGAGAATCAAGCCTCGGCCAGAGAGATTGCAGGAGTGCAGCGATCCCTTTGATGTCATCTTTACCTGTGAGAAGAGGGTCTATGACAGAGTGGTGGAAGAAACGTGTGCCAGAGAGCAGGAGACGTTCTAGCCTGTGCACGTGATCAACGTGGACATGGAAGACACCCTAGAGGGCGCCACCCTTGGAGCTTTCCTCATCTGTGAGCTGTGCCAGAGCCTACAGCACATGGAAGACTTGGAAGATGGTCTGGATAAGCTGCTCCTGGCAGCGGAGGAGAAAACAGGAAAGAGCTTTCTTCACACAGTCTGCTTCTACTGAAGCTCTTGGCTGGTTTTGGCTCCTTGGTTGGTAAGAACTTGTGCGTGGAATTTTTGAGTCATCCCTATTTTCTGTGGGAATCATCTTTAAAGCCCTTTCTACGTAATGCTGCTTGTTTGATTTTTTAAGCATGCTGCTGGGGAAGAGATATGAGCAAGAAAAACATTTGATGAGAAGTGAGGACAAGGACCATTAACGGTCTTGGCGCACGCCAAATGTCTAGACTTTGTTCTAGGTATTTTACATGGAAGAAGTAATCCAGTGTTCACATCGCTCTGCAACGAAGTTATCACCATGACTGCATTTTCCAGATGAGCAAATCAAGTGCAAAATGGAGTGTTCTGGAAAAATGATTTGTTGAAGGATATTCAGTAATTAGGGGGCCTTGTTTAGGCCCCTCCCTCTTTTTTCCCTAGCATTGTTTCTGGAGACTCTCCAGGAGAATTATTTTCCTTGCCTTTCTAGCTTCTAGAAATCACACATATTCTTTGCCTATGACCTCCTTCTTCTGTCTTAAAAGTCAGCCATGGTGGTTTGAATCTTTAACATTACATCACTCTGATTGCTTCTGCCTCCCTCTTTCAAATTTAAGGTTCCTTGTAATTACATTGGACCCACCCAGATAATTCATGTTGGTTTTATTAATTTAAGGTAAGTGGATTAGGAAACTTAATTTCATCTGTACACTTAATTTTAAGCTGTACTGCTTGCAATATTTGAGGGTGATGCCTATGGAAATTTAATGGAATGAAACTGTGACAGGATAGGAAGAAGCTAAGAAAGCTCCTGGGTAAGTAGAGTAGGAAACAGACAAGAAAATTAAACAAGGTCAGACAATTTGAACAATTTACAGCCAGCTGGTGAATCACAAGACCTTATCTTCCATAACCAAGGACACTTGAGAGCAAAAGGTTTATACCGCTCCTCTCTAACCAGAGAATACATAGCTTAAATCACACTGGTCTGGGAAAACAGAGAACAGAGACTCAATTAATGCCATTTGTGCCAACTAAACCCAAGGACAGATGAAGTCAGGGGAACAAATAACAAAAGCCCCATTAAAAGCCAAACGGACCCAAGATAAATGTAAAACAGTAGAACAGACCAAAGGATATTCCCAAACCCCACTATGTGCTCATTTTGATGCATCAGCATATTAAAAATGCACCTGGAAAGCTGATGAATATTCTGCTGAAACCCTTCCCTAAGATTCTCACCTGCAGAATAAAGATAAAAAGCCCTCAGGACAAAGACTCAAGGCAGGCTCACTCTAGAGAAGGCTCATGCCCTCTCCTGGAAATGAAATTTTTACTACTTCCTAAACTCCAAGTGTCCCTTCGATACTTGCAGCCAGGGGAGCATTGGGCAGCAGCAGCTCCACCTGGGCTTACCCCCTAACCCTGTCTCCAAGGCCCCCTTTTTCTCTGACTTCCCAGTGAACTAAAAGCGGCCCTGTCTTGGCTCTTTCCTACAATGCTTCCAGGGAGCCAAAGCAGAGCACTGCCTAGACTCTCCTGTTACTTCTACCCTAAGGCCTTCCTTTGATTCAGTTTCCAGCTTTAATAAACCTACTCTCAAAATCACCTGGACTTGGGTTGTGAAGTCTTTCCTACATGAATCAAGAATCTACACACTGCAGGTCAGCCTGAGGCAGACCCACTTCAGGCCAGTGCCTGTCTGATAACAAAACAATAAGAGGCCCTGGGAAGGTGAGCGTGGATGCTTCTTCATTGGCACGCCTGTTTGGGATCTCCTGGGATTTCATTTGTCCCACAATAAAGTAAATTGAAATTAGAACTACTGGGCATCAGTTTTAAAAATAATTTTCTTTTGCTAACTTTGAGTGGTATATTTATTTATAAGGGTTTATTAATTATAAAAGTATATTGCATCTTTACCTGTAGATAACTTTACTTATTAATTTTATCTATTTCCCCAAAGCTGAATTCAAAACCTGAGTAAGAAAATGAATGTTATATTATTGTTAAGGATTTGGAATTGTAAATAAAAAGCAACAACTCAAATGAAACAATGATGACTTAATTTGACATTAAGTATCTTTTTCCTGTTGGATCTTCCAACTCTTAAGCTGCATTACTTTAAGCTTAATCAAATAAATAAAACAAATAATTCTTTCCACAATAATTCTTATACTTAAGATGTTTATTAGTTTACCTAATTTTAGTACTTGGAAATGAGCCAATAGATGTTCACATGACACAAAAATAATTTTCTCTTGGTTATCCTCTCCATAGGTATCAAACTTCCCACTGTGGTGTTTCTTTGGTGACATTGCCACAGATCTCCTTCTGGGTCACGCCCATGCACAGAGACTCAGAATTATAGGAGTCAACACCTTATGGGGAGCTTCGGTCAGACAATAAATTCTTTGTCCTTTTTCTCAGTCAAAGGATGGCACTGAGATATACTTTTTTTATGGTTTCTCAAGGGCTAGTTTTGCAGATTGAATTTCTAGACACCCCAGTCACCTTGGTCAGCTGGATAGCACATTTCTGAATTGGCTCTCTACCATGTTCCTTGACTCACCTGTTCCTTCTCCTGATCCTTGGGGTTATATTGGTGATAAAACAGGTACATTGTTGGGAACCGTCCCACCTGGTTTCAGGGACAGTAGCCTCGCCGACAGGCCAGAGGGCCCCAAGGCTGGAACTGAGCGAGGAGGCATTGGGAAAACAGGCCACTGGGGAGACAAAACCTGTCCCCCTGGCAGGGGTGCAGCCCCTGCCTCCTCACATCACCCTGCTTGGCCCCAGAGGATGGCTGGTTAGTCAATGATGGATAAGATCCCTTGATGGCAGGGGCAACCTAAGGTGGCACAGTTGCATAGGGACCATCAGGGAAGGACATGAGGGACATGGAGAAGGGGCAAAAGACTCTCATCCCTCAGCTTTGTCACGGTCAGTGTCCTCATTCTATCTGAAAGAAGTCTCCTATCTCTTGGCTGTCTGCTCCACCCGCCTGATTCAGGCTTGAAAAAAATGCTAGAGGCAGGTATAGCCCTAAACTGGATCAGGCAGTTCCCGGGGGCAATTAGGCCTCGAAAAGGAAAGCATTAAATCCTCTGAAACCTGCTTTGCTAAGAATGCCCTCCAGTTTATGAGTACTGGTGTTTGAGGTCCGAGCATAGGATGAGATCATTTTCCCAGGTTTCAGGGCTGAATGGGCATCGCTCTGTCTACCAGACCCTGACTCAGAAAGACTCTTGTAATCCCTTTACTGTTATCTTTAAACCGTATCTCCTTCCTTTAATCATTATTGTTTAACATTGATTGATAAGCTTTATGTGTATGCTAAGTATCCCTAGAAGAGTTAAACTCAATAAAAAGCCATGTCAAGAGAAGGGCTGGGGCATTCTCCCACTGGAGGGAATCTCCGCCCCCTCTCCTGACAGGGAAATCGTGTCTGGTACAGTTTATTTCTTCATTCACAGTGACCAGGGAGACTCTGTGGGACAGAGCCTCGCTCAGTACACCAATGAGAACACCATTGCCTTACTCAGAGGGCACTCAATAAGATCTCAAGGTGCCAAGTAGTACTGCATTCACTGTGCTGCTAGGCTGCGTGCAGCACTGTCCAGGGCAGGGCGTCTTCTATCTACTGTATATCTTTAGCTCCACATCATTAAGTTTAATGGTCCAAAATCTTACCATGAAAGTCATCTTCCTTCACTTCTTCTTGTTATCTTGGAATTGGGCTGGGGACAAGTTGCTCATTAGTCCTTTTCTTCCCTCTGTATTTCATGCTCCATGGGCTCACATTTAAACTTTAAAGATCTCCCTTCCCTTGGGTTTATCAATGCTTGACAAGTCTACGCCAGTACTGGGTGAGGGTAAGGGGAGCACTGACTCCTAAGTCCAGCATATGTATTCAGAGTCTGAATCCTAATTTATGATCTTGTGGCTATAAATGTAAAATTTTTCACAGCTACTTTAAATTTTGTAAATTCTTTGACATAATGACCTTTAAGGAAGCCTGTTATACCTCAGGATCATTTTTTTTTTTTTAACAAAAAGTGATAAATGCAATTTATGAACTGATCAATGACTTTACTATTTTTTCTCTCTCTGTACCATCTCCCTTCCATCACTATTTTCTTTTCCCCTGGCTCTCAAAATTACGTTTTGAAATAAAGGTGTGATCCTATTATCTGTGACTTCAAAATCTTCAATTTCTGCTTTTGCGTGAGGATGAATTCTGAAAACTTTTCTGAAAGGTAGTTAATACCTATCACAACCTGTTTTCTCCCTCTAAGGAAGTGATCCTCAAATGCACAACTTGAATATATTCATTCATTCAGCAAATGTTTGTTGAGCTGCCACCATGTGTTAGGCACTCTTTTCCGCACTGGCGATGTAGCAGTGAGCAGAAAAGACTAACTCCTGCCCTTATGGAAATCACATTGCAGCGCTTTGGCTCCAATGACATGGGTGTGACTGAACCTATGTCGTTGAAGGACAAGTTGTCAGCGACAGGTATCCGCATAGCTCCCAAGCTTGTTTTAAAGGTCTTCCATAGATGGTTGGGTTTTCTTGCAAGCCCAACATCAGGTGATTGTCTCTGTCAATTTCTAAGCAGCTTTCCTGCTTAGCAGAGCTCTTGTCTGGCTTTTCTCTGGAGTCTGGCATCCTCTAGCAAACTAGAGAGTCCTACCTGTGCCCATATCAGTGCATTGATGACAGGATAAGGGGCCAGCCTTTCTCATGTGTGTACATACATCACCTTTTACATACTTTTGTTATAGACACACAATAAAATTCTGGTCCAAAAGGTTTATGGTATAGGATGAGCTACAGGGTGGTATTTTAAAAGTGTGGACTAGGTTCTCTTCTCTCAAAAGTATGATATTTTAGACAATGAAATCTTGAAGTAAAAAAAAATGTATTTTTTATTTTTTGTGACCAATATATATCAGTCAAGGGTGGCCAAAACTAGGTTTACATTTGGTTGTATGGAAAAAGATATGCAGGTTAAATGAACGATAATATAAGAATAAACTCCAAGTTTTGCGTACTCACAGCAATAAACCTACTTCTGCCAACCCCTGTATATAACTGATATTTATTAAGTGATTAATGTGGGTTGACCATTCTGTATGTATTAACTTTTAATCCTAACAATTGTCTGCAGTAGGTTCTATTATCTTAGTTTCCGACTGGGAAACTGAAGCATAGGAAGATTAGCTAACGTACTTCTGCAGTTAGTAATGTGGAGGCTGGATGTAAACTTGGGCAGCCGACCTCTGAAGCTGCATGCTTAGACACTAGGCTAAACATAGTTCTCATTAAATACAGTTTTTATTTATATTTCATTTTTCAAAATATGGTTTTTATATTAAGGCCTTTTCCTACCTAATGTCAAAAGTTCAAGCTAGTCATTTTTGAATAAAGTAACCTTGTCAATTCAAGATTTTCTCAGTCAGTTCAGGGTGCCTCCTCTCCTCCTTTCTTACCAAGGCTGATTCTATCTCTAGGCATGTGTGCAGTGCCAAGGCACTAGTGAGGAGGTCCTTAATTACACAGATAACTGCACGTCGGTGGAGTCCAGGCAACTTCTGATCATCAGCATAAATGCTTGCTCATATCCGTGAAATATATCTTGTTCATTTTAGTCTACAGATTGTTGGTCTCTGACCTGGAACTGTAAAATTTGTTTTCTGACTGTGAGGTTTCTCCTGTCCCACTCTATTTCACCTCCTTCTGCTACCCTGCATTGGTTTGGAAAACTTATATTAAGGTTTATTTTTACTGTGGTAAGGCACTTAACATGAGACCTGTTCTGTTAAAAGATTTTTAAATGCACAATACAGTATTTATTGCTATTAATAGGTATAATGTGTACAGCAGATGTCTACAACTTATTCATTTAATATCACTGAAATTTTATACCAGTGGATTAGTTTTACGTGATAATTTGTGCCACTCTGGGTCTGAAAAAAGACTCATTTATATAGTTATGTAAAATGTTTAGATCTATTTCTCCAGGACTTAGCTGCCCATGGTTTTCATTTATTAGCTTCAGCCAATGAGTCATCAAGTGTTCACTGGCCACAGCACAATTATGGCTGTTAATCTAGACCTACTGACACTGAGAAGAGAGAGGTGGGCTTAACTTTATAAGAGAGTGCAATGCATTTCTGAGCATTTATTGGTCATTTTAGATTTATTATAAATAGATCTTCAAATTTCTGAGAAATACAAAATTCAGCAAATATCATCTGTTTGCCTATAAGGTAGTGCACAAAGCAGAATTATATCTTGAGACTGTCACAACAATGGGCTTCTCACAGAATCTGATTACTTCTGAAACCTGTATATGCTTCTGTCTTAATAGATGCTCATTGCACTCCTTAAGCATTGAGTGTGAGATGAACATATGAGCTAATTATACCCACAAAGACATGTATAATAAATAAGTAAAATGCATTAATCTTATATAATTATTTAATTAATAATAATTTAGTGAGATTTTTAGAAGAGCCTAAAGTATAGAAGATTAGCTGAGATAATATCCTTGAACGTACTTATATTAAAGCACACATTTTTTTCTAAATGCACACTTACTTTGTTTTTCCTGTTTTATTATCTGATTTTTTACAAATAAGGTACAATACTACTTTTATAATAAGAATATAGTTATTTCCAAGTTGAAAAAATTTCACACTCTACATTCAGGATGAATAAAATTAGATAAAATATTTACAAAAGAATATAAAGAAAACAAAATAACTTTTTCCAGCAACCATAAATGTGGTATTAGTTTTGGTGGCCAAGCACTAAACAGAAGGATACAACAGGCAGGCAAATGAAATAAAAAATATGTCACAAATTCCAGTAATCATATATCTTTTACCGGTTGTGCACAGACATTTATGTACTCTTAGAAAAGAATTAAAAGTCATTATTTATGGATATGAAAATGAATCTTATGACCACTCCAGTTGTGACTATAACAGCAACATCATCCTTTACATGAAGAGTGAAAACTTGAACATTATCTTTACAAATTAATTGCATGCATTAATATTACAGATTATAAATAACATTAGTATTAATTTAATTCAATATTGAATGCTAATGTAAGTATTAAAACAGGCTTGTAGCAAAGCTGGTTTAGATGGGAGAGGTTTTTTAATAGTAAAACATCATAAATGTGAACATCTGGTGTGAGATGGATCTCAGAGTTTGTGAGGTATAGTAGGAGAATAAATATTCAGGAGGAGTTCTAGGCAAGGGGGAAACAGACCTAGGATCAAGGCCATTTGGGAAGAGGGTGAGGCTGGTGGAGACAGCTGTGTCCCTGGGGACCTGATGCAAGTGCTTCCTTCAGGCCTCTCATGAACGAGAATAGATAACCCAACTGCCTGACCTCCAACAAGCTGAATTTCATCTCCAATGTCACATCTGTTCCTGAAGACTCAATAAAGGCTGGTGAGTGAAATAGACACCTGTGGGTGGGGTGGTTCCAGGGTTAGGGCATGGACTGAACTGGTGTAATGTTCAAGATAGGCCAGAGGCAGAGGACTCTTGGATGTTGTCGATACAAATGAACACAGTGTGGGAAAGACAAGAGGCATCTGTCTGGTTGGTTACAGCCGAAGTGGAGGGTAAGGTGTGGGAAGGGATACTGAGTGGGTAACTGAGGTTAGTGAAGTTTGGCAAATAAAGAGAAGTAATCCAATATATGACAAATGTCTTAATAATTAGACTGGGCATGAGAAAATAAATACTAGTCTACAGACCTCTCCTGGCAAATATGAGAAGAGTGCTGAGCATGGCAAGGATCGGTGCTGGGTTTCCCAAAGCAGGACTTGGGAAGTAAACCAGGACATCTTGGGCAGGTGTGAGACAAGAATATTGGGGGAGGAGACTTGAGTGGGCCTTTTAGATAAATAACTTGGTTAGGCGACCAATTGAACAGGCAAACCCTCAATCTCTGAGCTCCCTGGCCTCCCTCTTTGGCTCCAATTAATAAAATTTGCTCTGCTGCTCCCTTTCCTCAGACACATAGCCATCACCAGCTTCCATAATCTTTCCACCTTTACAGCTCTACATTTGTTGATTTGTGTCTTCTGTGGTCTCTTCTTGCCATTTTTTTCTCCTTTACTTTCCAATCAGGTGTGTGGTGCATGTACCAGCCTTCACACCCCTCTAGTGCCCATTCCACTTTTTTTCATGCAGGAGGTTAGCTGCTCTCATTGGAGAGAACTTTTTCTTAAAGTAGCCATACACTCTGCAGAAGACAGTGCCCTAACTTAGGCCAGCTGATTGGATCCCTTTGACAGGTAACTCAGAAAGCAGAACATATTCCTCTAGCACTGGAGAATGGTTATTGGAGCTGATTTTCCTCCCCAGAAAGAAAAATTATGGGCACCAAGTGGGAAGTGGAGTGGAAAGAATAATGTTAATGAGCATGAGATGTAATTTAATTACTAAAGTAGATATTTAAAAAAATACTATTTTATTAGGGGGAATTAACATTGGTCTTCAACTCTTCAGCTTGTCTGCTTACAAATTTGTTGCTATCTCAAACCATAAGTTCATAGGATTCTGTCAAATTTCCATTTTTTCCCTATATTCCCAGTTTGTAATATGGTACCTGAAGAATAGTTTCTGCCTCCTAAATGACAGAATGAATGAATGAATGTACACTAAGAACTAAATGATAGAATTTCCATCTGAAGAAAAAGTTTCTAAAAATCATGCACATCTCCTCCTAACAATATTGTCTTACCTTAAAATTTCAGTCATTTATGCACTTAGTTCCTTAAGGTATGAGCATGAGCAATGCCTCACCTCAGGCACACAGGCCTAGTCCACGCTAACCTCTTAAAGTTCCCTCTACTTTCTAAACAAGGGAGCAAATTGTATGGTGAAGCCAGAGAGATTTAAAATCTCACTTTCATCAATTAGACCAAGATTGCCAGAGCAGCATCTACTCTGCTTTCTTCAGTATTTCCTATGCACAGCCACCCAGAGCAAAACAAACTATTTCATGAACATGCTTATACTTTGTTTCCCTTTGCTGCTTCCCTTCCTTTTTATTATTCTCTTTATGATAAAGTACCCACCATAAAGTCAGGTTCAAGTTCTTCACATTCAGTAAATACTTGTTACAGCCTTCTCAGATACATAGAATAATTTCCTTTGTCTTTTCATGGTCCACTGTTTGTAGGAGTATGATTACTTTTTAATTAGACTATCACCCATTGAAACAGAGATTATATTCTATTGACCTTTTATGTTTCTCGTTATCTGCATATTCAAAGAAGATGAAAGTGTGGAATATGCTAAAAGTTCTTTGTGCCATTGGAAATATTATTACAGGAAATACTGTGTTTTCCTCTGTGCCTGTGAATAAGAAGTGATGTCTCTGGTAGTCTCTCCGCACATGGCTACCTTAAACCACACTGGTGTTAGCCACACAGTCTTCCACTTGCTGGGCATCCCTGGCCTAGAGAACCAGCACATGTGGATCTCCATCCCCTTCTTCATCTCCTATGTCATTGCCCTACTTGGGAACAGCCTGCTTATCATCATCATTACAAAGAGCAGCCTCCATGAACCCATGTACTTCTTCCTCTGCATGCTGGCAGGAGCAGACATTATCATTTCTACATGCACAGTGCCGCAGGCTTTGGCCATCTTCTGGTTCCATGCTGGGGAGATCTCTCTGGATCGCTGCATCACTCAGTTCTTCATCCTTCACTGCACTTTCATGTGTGAATCAGGGATCTTGCTGGTGATGGCGTTTGACCGCTACATTGCTATATGCTACCCACTGAGATACACCGCTATTCTTACACGTACATTGATTGGGAAAATTGGTGTTATCATCTTTTTGAGAAGTTACTGTACAATTTTCCCCATAATATTTCTTTTGAAAAGGTTGACTTTCTGTCAAAATAATATTATTCCACATACCTTTTGTGAACACATTGGCTTGGCCAAATATGCTTGTAATGACATTCGAGTGAACATCTGGTATGGGTTTTTTGTAATAATATTGACAGTGGTTTTAGATGTTCTGTTAATTTTTGTTTCTTATGTGCTGATTCTTCATGCTGTCTTCCACATGTCTTCCCAAGATGCTCGTCAGAAAGCTCTCAACACATGTGGCTCCCATGTCTGCATCATCACTCTCTTTTATGGGCCTGCCATCTTCACAACTCTTACTCAGAGGTTTGGACGTCACATTCCTCCTCATATCCATATCTTGTTGGCTAATGTCTACATTCTGGCTCCACCTATGCTGAATCCCATCATTTATGGGATCAAGACCAAAAAAATCCAAGAGCAGGCAGTTCACATGTTTTTCCCAAATCAGAAATAACTTTGGAAGAGGATCAGAGTTTTCAGCATCTGTAGCTATTCATGGTGTGGTCTGTAGACTGGTGGGTAGTAATGTTAGTGGTAAACTGAAACACTAGGAAATAGCTCATAAATTGTGTTTCTGGAGCAAGTTCATCAAGAATGTTACAAGATATGCATATTCAACTGTCAATGCAAGAGGGAGGGAGGGAGGTAGATTAGGAGGAAGGGGGGAGGAAGGAATGGAGGTAGGGCGGGGGAGACAGAGAGAGAGAGAGAGAGAGAGAGAGAGAGATGCCACGTTTGCCTGAGTAAATTTCTACAGCTTTACTAGTCCATCCTAGATGTTTTTTTTCCTACTGATTTAAAAATTATTTTAAGGACAAACCACTTAAAATTTCTAAAATGTATATCCACACCTAATATGTTCTTTTACTAAGGACATATTATCTTTTCCATATTAGAATTCTTAAGCCTTAAATCCTTAATTTTTACTGACAGCAAAAAAGTAAGCAGTTAACATTCTTTAGATTGGCTGATTTATGAATCTATTTCATAATATTTAGAACCATAGGCTTTTGTTGGCAACTATTTACAATTTTTCAGAAACATGTGTTTTTTAAATAAAGTAAAAGATATTTACTAACAGATCCACATTTACCTTTCAGTTTTTTTTAGTATGAAGCCAGAAGTTTGTAAACTTAGACTTAATCTAGCAACTAATACTTCAGTATTTTTGGTTATTTGGTAATATCTAGATATTTAATAATTTCAAGTTACCAAATAAATTCAGAAAACCATTTAAGTGCATGTAGAATATAGTTCTTGCTAAAAATTTAACCTAAAAAACCTTTTAGATACCATTTACATTTATTTGTTTCACTTGCTTCTAAAATTAAGTTTAAATTACTTATGAAAATTTTATTGTCCCAAGTTATATTTTTAAATATATTTTTAAAAGATTTATTTATTTTTAGAACCAGAGACATGGAAATAAAGAACAAACTGACAGTGATCAGAGGGGAGGGGAGAGGGTGATAAGGAAAGAAAGACGGAGAAGGGGCAAGTCAAGGAACAGGAACAGAGGACTCAAGGGCACGGACCCTGGGGTGGGGATTGACTGCGAGAGGGGTGGGTGGGGCAGGGGAGAGCAACGGGGAAAGAGGTGGGACCATGTAACTGAACAACAATAAGTGAAAAAAAGATTTATTTATTTTTAGAGAGGGAGGAAGGGAGGGAGGAAGAGAAGGTGAGAAACACCAGTGTGAGAGAGAAACATTGATCGGTTGCCTCTTGTATGTGCCCCAACTGACAGGAGACTGATCCTGAAACTCAGGCGATGGCCCTGACCAGGGATGGAACCAGCAACCTTTTGCTTTGTGGGATGATGCCCAACTAACTGAGCTACACCGGTCAGGGCCCAACTCATACTTTTGATGACAAATTTTGTAACAGAGATGACATGAATTTATTTGACCAATGAACCCAAGTATAATAAGTGTTATTTAATGCTGATGAGTCTAAAGATATGACTGTTTAACCAAACCAAACCAAAGTCAAAATCAGTTTTATTAGCAAATATTTTATCAGATCATGTGATTCTGAAGGGCAGTTGGGTTAGTTTTTGTTATATTTTTGAGAACTCTCATATAATTGTTTAAACTAATTTAATATTAAAAATTAGCAAATCCATTCAGTAGTAGAAATATGCTATATCTAGAATGTACATACATAGACATACATAAACATAGAGATATACATAGACAGAGATCTCATATATTTCATTTTGAAATGTTTTTATATAAGATCTCCCAACACCATTTATTGAAGAGGTTATTTTTACTTCGTTTTTTGCTCCTGCCCACTTTGTCAAATATTAATTGACTAGAGACCTAGGTTTATTTATGGGCTCTCTATTTTGTTCCATTGATTTATGTGTCTGTTCTTATGACAGTACCAGACTGTTTTGATTACAGCGGCCTTATAATATAGTTTGATATCAGATATTGTGATCCCTCCAACTTCGTTCTTTCTCAAGATTGCTGAGGCTACTAAGGGTCATTTTTAGTTCCATATAAATTTTTGAAATGTTTGCTCTATGTCTGTGAAATATGTTGTTGGTATTTTAATAGGGATTCAGTTGAATCTATAAATAGTTTTGGGTAGTATGGACATTTTAATGATGTTAATCCTTCCAATCCATGAGCACGGTATATGCTTCCATTTATTTTATCTTCCATAATTTCTTTCTTCAGTGTTGTGTTTTCTGAGTACAGGTCTTTTATCTCCTTGGTTAAGTTTGTTCCTAGGTACTTAATTTTTCTTGCTGCTATAGTAAGTGGAATTTTGTTTTCCTGATTTCTGTTTCTGATATTTCATTGTTGGTGCACAAAAATGCCTTCGGTTTCTGAAATTGACTTTGTATCCCACTGTTTTGCCAAATTCACTTATTAGATTTAGTAGTTTTTTGGTGGAGCCTGCAGGGTTTTCTATGTACACTATCATGTCATCTGCAAACAGAGACAGTTTTATTTCCTCCTTTCCAATTTTGTTCCCTTTTATTTCTTTTTCTTGTCTGATCACTGTGGCTAGAACTTCCAATACTATGTTGAATAACCGTGGTGAAAGCAGGCACCCTTGTCTTGTTACTGATCTTAGGGGAAAAACTTAATTTTTGCCCTTTGAATATGATGCTGGTTGTAGGTTTCTCATATATGGCTTTTATTATATTGAGATATGCTCCCTCTACTCCTACTTTGCAGAGTGTTTTTATCACAAATGGGTGCTGTACTTTATCAAATCTTTTTTCTGCATCTATTGATATGATCATGTGATTTTTGTCTTTCCTTTTGTTTATGTAATGTGTTACGTTTATTGATTTGGCAATATTGTACCATCCTTGCATCCCTGGGATGAATCCCACTTGATCATGGTGTATGATATTTTTAATGTATTGCTGGATGAAGTTTGCCAATATATTGTTGAGGATTTTAGCATCTATGTTCATCAGAGATATTGGCTTGTAGTTTTCTTTCTTTGTTGTGTCTTTATCTGTTTTTGGGATTAGGATGATGTTGGCCTAATTAACTAATTTGTTATTGTTGTTCAATTGCAGTTGTCCTACAATTTTCCCTGTTGCTCTCTCTGGCTCACTCTGCCCCCTGAATCCCACTGTCAATTTCCCCCTCCACATTGTCCATGAACATATGTCTTTTATTCATGTTCCTTTACTTGTCCCTTCCTCTTCTTTCCCCCATTATCCTCCTCCCTCTTCCCCTCTGGTCACTGTCATGTGCATGTCTTCAGTTTTAATTTATGACCAGACAAGGAATGCATTTGTTTATCTCCAAAAGGTTTGAGATCCACTCCTTCAAGAATGCCCCTTAAGGTGAACTTGTTAACAAACACAAGCAACAGAAAATGGAAAGCAAGTGTGCCCAATAAAGTTGGAAAGCTCAACCCTGGCTCAGTTGGTTGGGCACCATCCTATGAAGTGAAATGTTGCTGGTTTGATCCCTGGTCAGGGCACATGCCTAGGTTGTGGATTTGGTCCCCAGTAAGGGCATGTGCAAGAGGCAACTGATTGATGCTTCTCCCTCACATGGATGTCTCTCTCCTCTTTCTCACTACCCTCCCTCATCTCTATAATCAATAAAAGAAAAAATATTTTAAAAAAATTGGAAAGCTCAGAATGTAAAAAGAGTGGCTTCAGAACACCTGAATTTAAAATGGCAGATATTCCTTGAGAAAGATGGTGCCAGCCTGAAGCCTGAGCACAAGGTGGCAACTGCCACATGTCTGGAGACAAAGAATATGGGGGAGGGGAAGAAGCCTCAGATGCCATTTTACTTATTTCCAAGCCAATAAGTGAAGTACACAGAAAATAAGATAGGTACACAAATAACACACCAACAGGATAATAAATTGAATAATTGCCTCAGATAAACAGAAACTATTTACTCTCTTAGAAGTAAATAAATGGTTCCAAAAACGTCTGGAGGATAATGCAGTAGGAGAAGTAGGCTCCCAGCAGCTGAGCCCCTAGATAATCAGTTCTAAGTGACCACTCAGGGTTGGCTGCTAGGGCCTGCACGCCCTGGGGAGGCGGCCAGGAGACTATCTGCTCATAAGGAGGCAGTGGTGGTACAGTGGGAGACTTAGTCTGAGTTAATAACAGATCATCTTTTCTTTTCCTATTTTGGTTAGATTCTGGTACCATTGGTTTTTTCTTTGGTTCCTCCCACTGCACCCTGACCTCACATTTCTTTGGAATCATCTGCTAAAGGCAGTTCAGTTCTGAAGGCTGCATCCTGATGGGCTCTTCTGAGGTATTGAACTGGAATTTTCGATGTTGTTAGTTATAGACACAAATTTCCAAAATTCGGACCCAGAAATATAGATACAACAAATACACTTAACACAATCTATCAAAAACAAAGAAACAAATAGGTAAAATGCAACAATCTTACTCTCAGATAGAGGCTCTTAACTAAATTCAAAATGTGGATGGCTTTGCCCCAAGGGAGAAATGTACCCTAAACAAAACTGATCATAGACGTAAGTCTAAAGACGTTTTCTTATTCCAAACGAGTGACATGTCCAGGGTGACAGCACCTGGCAGAGAAAGTCCCTCTGGACTGCCCAAGGCAAAATGGCCTTGATAGCTGCTCAGGATTCATGGAAGGAAACCTCTTCTGGGGCCGGCCTGCTATGAGCGCCAGCTCCTGGCTGGCTCTCCAAATTTCCCAAATGTTACCAGATGCTGGCTCTTGTGCCCAGCACTTTGGACGTCCCAAACTCAAAATATCAGAATTTGGGGTAAAGAAAGTTTTATTGATCAAGGAGTCACCATCTGAGAAGATGGGAGACTCAAATTCATGTTTCAAGCCCTTTTCTCTTAATGCTATTTGTGTAATTTTTTAGGCATTCCATTGGGCAAGAGATGAGCAAAAAGAGCATTTTATAGGAAATGAGGACAAGGACTGCTAACAGTCATTAAAACACTCCAAATGTGGGGATTGC